TATTGTGAAAAATAAATATTTTTTGGTTAAACTTGTTTGGACTTATTGTACAAACCTATTTAACATCCACTATTTTAACATCAAATTATGGATAGAGTTTAATTCAGTGTTTGCAAGATTAATTTCTCTATTTTTAAATGAATGTCTATATTGCCATGAAGCAATTAGGATTTTCTTGCCTTGGATCTTCCTATTGGTGACCTAATCAACTCTTAAAATATGTTTTTAAATGGAGGCAGAACCAATCGGAGCCGAACTGGGTAGATTTATTTTCCTTTGCTGTATAAATGAATAAATATAAATAATAATAAAACATTTAAATAAAGAACTAAGAGAAAAATAAGCTGTGTAATGTTCATTCACAGAATCAGGATCCAAGTCTGGAACTTGAACTGTGACTTTCATAAGAGAAGTAAAAATGTTTTAAAGTGTCGGATCAAAACTATTTAAAACTATTTAAAGATTTTAAATGGAAAAGTCGACTCACCCTGCCGGTCCCCGGTCGTCACGCTGGTGGTGTAGATCCGAGCTGGGGGGGGGGCAGTCAGGTTAAATAATATTTATAATAATTATACATTTTTAATCAATCAATATATATATATATATATATATTATATCTAAAAAGCCCCTTTCAGGCCACTCAAGGACACTTTACAAAGCCGATCATCATTAAAACAACATGGAAACATAAGAAAAACACAGTCTTAAATACATCATAAATAAGAACATAAATGAATTAAATCAAATGAATAAAACTGTGCAGGATGAGGGGAATGTCAGAGTTAGGGGGGGTGAGGTGGGTAAGACGTTTTAAATGGGTGGGTTTTGAGTTTTGTTTTGAAAAAAAGGAGAGAGTCGGTATTTCGGATGTCAGATGGTAAAAAGTTCCAGAAACTGTAGGCTCCTAGCCCCTAGCACTCCCAGGTAAGTATTTTTTGCTTTTTTTCCAGGTTATTTTCAGGTTCTGGGTAGGTATTTGCAGGTTTCGAGGAGTCCCAGGTAAGTAAAATACAGGTTAAATAAAATAAGAGTCAGCTCTTGTTGTTTTAAAAATATAAATACAACAATAAAAGATTTCAAAACAGTGACAATACACTTTAAAAAGCTTTAAAAGTGCTTAAAACCATTCCTTTTGTTCCTTCCCTTTCTCTTTTTTCTCATTTTGCCCTTTTTCCTTTGTTTGCTAGATTCCTTTAAGTTTCTTTTTTGAGTTCCTTGAGGATAGGGTCTGGGTTAAGGTCTGGGTCGTGGGTTTGGGTTTGGGTTAGGGTTAGGGTCTGGGTTAGGGTAAGGTCGGGTTAGGGTTAGGTTAGGCCCACCTAGGCAGCTGTAGGTGG